CAAGGTATAGATTTATGGAAATGGTTAATTTAAGATAAAAGAACAGTTAGCAAGAAGCCTGCCACGGCCATACAGTTTGTAAGCAATATAAGCCTCTGTGTTTACTTGGTTGGGTCTGAGCGGCTGTGGGACTGGCAGGTGACAAAGATTTGTCCTGATTGTGGACAAGGCAGGAAAACTCTAGCTACACCATAGCTTTTTGTTTCCTGTGAAAACAAAGGCATAACCTCTCTCCCACAATGCAACACATTTCCTGACTTCCATTCTGAAGTTAAGACATTCTTAAAGTATATAGGCTGATTTGATTTAGTAGTTTCCTTAATCCAATGTCTCTCCACAGCTGTTGTTTTTTGTTCCCTAGTATTTAAATACTTCAAAGTTAACAAAGCACTATATAAGATCCAGACATTCTGTGTTATATTTTCATCCTTGTGTGGCTTATCCTCCTTACCCTGCTTTACTCTCTCTTTAAAGGCTTTATTATTTTTAAACCATTTAATTTTTTATGACTGTCTATACCCAATTTATTTTCTTCTGTCAACACCTAAGCACATTTTCAAGCATACTGTACCTGTCCAGATGTTTTCTTGGCCTAGACCTGTTCTTTTGTTTGTTTGTTGCACATCTGCAGTGTTTCTCTGACCACATGAGCCAAACCTTAACCAGCTAGGCTACCCACTCTGTGTCTCTGCTTTGCACATGGTGCTGGTGGCTGGCTCTGCCCACTTTGGATCTATGAGAGCTGAGGGTCATGCCTGTGGATCCCAGCCTGGAGCCATGTTTACTCAGCTCTGAGAATTTTTTATCTAGTGCTGAGTAGCACACCACCTGCTCAAGTGCTCAGCTAAACAGCAGGGCCTCTTGAAGGGCCTGGCCTTTTCATGGTGCTAGGGATAAAAGCTCCGGTCCTCACACTTCCAGAGCAAGCACTGTATTGACTGAGCCATCTTTAGTCGGTTTGTTTTTTGGTTTTGTGGTGTTTGTTTGATTGTCTGTTCAGACAGGTTCATTCTGTAATCCAGGCTGGCCTAAAACTTTAGCCTCTGCCTCACCTTCCTAAATGCTGGGATTGCAGGCGTCAACCTCTACTTCTGGCTGCAGAGAATTTTCATGTGTGTTTTTGTTTGTTTGTTTGTTTTTTGCTTTTTGCTTTTTCGAGACAGAGTTTCTCTGTGCAGTTTTGGTGCCTGTCCTAGATCTCCCTCTGTAGACCAGGCTGGCCCTGAACTCACAGAGATCCGCCTGGCTCTGCTTCCTGAGTGCTGGGATCAAAGATGTGCGCCACCACCGCCCGGCTTCATGTGTGTTTTTAATATTCTATTCAGTAAATGTTGTGAAGAACCAGCCTGCTTCCATCTTAGACTTAAAATCCATTTAATAGTAAAGACAAACTGGGCTTGTCCTGTTTATGATTAGACCTCTGTTTCTCAAGGATTGGCTATGCCCTACCTGTAACCTTAACTACAAATGGTTCTGTACTGGTTGTTCAGGAAATGGCAGCCATGTCTTTTGTTTCAAAAGGTTGCTATAACTGCCTTGTTACAATCACCTTGCTCCTTTCAATCCTGTCTTTGTTTCAGTAGGTCATCATGACTAACTTGTTATGCTATGTTCTGCTTCTGTAACCCCATCTATTTTGCCCACTAAATCCCACATTTGAAAGTTCCCTACCCCTGAGCTATAAAAACCTTGTCCTTCCTCACATTCAATGCCTGACCTCCCTCTTGAACTCCACCTTAGGGGGAGGCAGCTGGTGTGCACAAATAAAATAGCTTGCTTTAATTAATTACATGCTTGCTTTAATTAATTTGGCTATAACGATTTAGGATGATGGCCTTTCTCCTCAAATCTTTGGGATTAACAGTCAACACCCAACTTTTCTAACCATTTCCTACACATATGTATATATTTTACATGAAGCAATTTCACTTTTAAAAAATTGTTACCATCTGCCAATGAAAATTCACAAGTTTTTTCCAGGGGGTTTTGTTTCAACTCTTGTTAGAAAGGAGTTACTGTGTAACAATCCAGGGACAGGACTACACTTCCCTAGGTGCTTGGGGCCAGGCCAGTGGGAGGAGAGAACTCAGTTTTCTTTAGAGACAGCTGATCTCTCACTTCATTGCCAAGGGTGTGATCCTCAGGCATACTGGGAAATGTGGGCCAACACCACATGGAAGGAGAAGGTGGGGCTTGCTAGAGGACCTGCATGAGACCTGGGCTCAGAGATGGGAAGACTGACTTGGCTTCTCAGACAGGAAATAACTGAGGGAACCTGCGTGTTCCACATGTCCTGGAGGTTGTGAGACATAAAGTCGTGGTGGGTGTCTCTCTTCTCTGGTATGGGTGATGAAATGGTGCCCTGCCCCTCACTCGGGAAAGCAGGTCTGAGACACTGGTCAACGCAAAACAAGATTAAATGTCAGTACCTGGAGTAAACCTTGATGTTTCCTTGGTTTCTCTGCTCAGGAGCAAAGCCAACATGTAAAACAATGACAGGACTCAGGTCCTAAAGGTTCCATGAGGAAGCATGCTAGGAATGTTGGCATCCACATAGGCGCGTGAATATGCCAGACATCTGTGTACAACCACGTGTTCCTATGAACATATGCTCTCCAACATTCTGCATTTTAAAAAGACAGGTACAAGTATCCAAGTTCTTCCTGACTTTCCCCAGGCAAGATAAAGGCCAGGTGTCTCCACAGGCCCTCAAATTATATTACAGGGTTTATTGGCACTGAGCTTAGCTGGGAGCTTGAAGCTTCAAGGACAGATCCGGGGACATGGAGAGGTTGCATAGGGTATCTTGGGGGGGGGGGGGGCCCAATCAGCCGGGACTGGTGGCACTTCGGATCCAAAGAGGGTTCAGGGTGCAAAGTGCAAGGCAAGGCGTACAGTGTGAGCTCAGGTGCACGATGTAGGGTACAGTGTGCAGAGTGCACATTTGTAGGTGTGATGGCGAACATTACACTTAAACGTTTAGACTTACTATGCTTGGGAGACCAAAATCAAAAACTGCCTCAGGGTCTTGTACGGGCTGTACCGTCACCCCTCCCCACCCCCGACGTTAAAAACTCTTCTTAAAGTGACTGATCTTGTAAAGTTTGCTGTTCTAGCAAGACAGTAAGATTGCTATTTCTGCTCTTGTAATCGAACTTGCTTCCTCTACTCAAAAGATGACTAGGGCAACTGCAGGACATTCGCGTTAAAATAAGCCCCTGCCTGCACGGAGGGGGTTTGCCCACAAGCATACCAGCTCTGGGCTGATATGGCCAGGGGCTGCATCTTTGAAGTTCTCTCGGGTGCAGACCTGGCCCCAATCAGTCTGGGTGCCAGTATCTAAAATAAAAAGCCTCTAATTATTAAAATTTATTCATGGTTACTGTCAACCTCTGAGCGACCCCAGACAGTAGGGTGCACTGAGCAGAACGTGTGCTCGAGCTCTGGGGCAAGGACCGGCTCTCTAAAAGGGGAACTCGCAGATGAAGTAGAGGCGCCGCTCACAGTCATGGTCCCACCAGGAGCCGTCGTCTGAGGCCTGCGCCACGCAGTTCTCCAGGACGCCGCCATTGGGCTGATTCGGGCTGAGTGGATGTGATGCCGCGCTGGGCTGGGCGCCGGGCTCCGGGCTGGGTGCGCGGTGCCAGGCGAAGAAGGACACACGCTGGCCGTTCTCGAAAAGGTAGAGGCCTTCCGAGCGCCGGTCGTTCACGCCCAGCCACACCGGCCAGTTGTAGGGGGCGAGGGCAGAGCGCAAGTACCGGGCCACCGCATCCATTTGCTGGCGGTCCGCCGGCTGCGCGAGACTCCCGCCCCGCGCCTTGCACCGCGCCTGCGCTGCCGCCTGGGTCTCGAAGTCCCGCGATAGCAGGAAGCACTTGTGGCCCAGGCGCAGGCCCTTCAGGCAGCCTGTGTGCGTGGTGAGGCGGAGTCAGAACATTGAGCGGAGGGGCGGGGCCAGAGCGAGGGCTTGGGTGATCAATGAGGCGGAACCCAGGTTTCAAGAGGCGGGGGAGGGCGGGGTCCGTAGGTAAAGGGAAGCCAGAGCCGAGGAGCGGTGCATGAGGGTAGAGGGCGGAGCCAGATAAAGGCGGGTTAGAACTTGCGATGGCCAATGAGGTAGAGGCAGGCCTACTGGGGGCGTGGCCATAGCTCCGAGCGGGCGAGACCAATGAGGCAGAGCCAGGGCTGCAGGGGGCGGGGTCAGAGCTTTAGGGGCTGGAAGAGGGCGGGGTCAGAGTTAGAACGGCTGTGACCAGTGAGGCCAAGACAGGGCTGTTGGGGGCGTGGCTAAAAGAAGACCGTCCTTCTGTGGTCGAAACTTAGTAGGGGGAGCCAGAGCATTGAGGACAGGGAGGGCGTGGGTAATGGGCGGGATTAGAGCTTCAGTGACCAATAAGACCTGGCCAGGCTGTCAGGGGCAGAGCCAACACATTTGTGGGTATAAAAAGGGTGGGGCCAGAGGGACGCCTTAGAGCAGCAGTGTCTGATGAGGTGGAGCCAGGGCCTCAGAGGGGCGTGGCCAGGGTGTGGGCGGTACCAGACAGTGGGTGGGGCTCCCAGGGTGTGGCACAGGTTGAAGCGAGGACAGTCTCATGCACCTCACAATCCAGCTACAGATGTGTGGACACATCCCAGTTCTATGTGGACCTGACACCCTTGGTCCCCAGGTCTTCAGACTTCCCTGGGTCGCCTCCTCCCACCTAAGCCCTCTTGGTGCTGCTGAAACTCACCCTCCAAGCGGCCGTGCTCCTGCTCAGCACGGACCTGTGCCTCCTTCAGGGCTTGCACGGAGTCGCGGGTGTCGCTTGTAGCATCCCGCAGCTGCCGCAGTCCCTGGGTCAGCTGGACCACACGGGTGTCCAAAGCGTGCAGACGAATGTGCAATTGGTGTAGGCCTGCATCCAGGCCAGCCAAGCGGCCCACTGGGAAAGAACAGAATACACAACTGGAGGCGCAGTCAGGGGCCCTAAGCAAAAGGGAGGGCATGGCCCTCGGACTCCCAAAGATGGGATGGAAGAGATAATCTGGACTATGTGGATGAGGTTCAGTGGTTTGGGCTCTTGACAGGCATGTCTGGGGACCTGGGGCTCCCCTGATGTGTCTGCCCTCCAGGTGGGTCAGTGATTGACATACAGGCCATCCTGGCTTCTGGGTACTCACAGATGTAAGTGATGGCGTCCTCTGGCGTAGGAGAAGGGCTGGGGACAGGACTGGAACTGGAAGTAGGTGCTGTGGTGATTTCCTCTTCCTCTTCTTCTCCTGGAGTCTCCTTGGTCCCCCAGACCCCTTTGCCTTCAGGATTTCCGGCAACACTATCCTTATTTCCCAGCCCAGTGGACAGCCCCAGGGCCTCCTGTAGATTCTGGGGCAGAGAACACGTTAGTCTCCTTCCCACCCACCCTCTCAGCTCTTTCTCTGAACCCATTGCCCCCTCTAAGCCCCATTATTTTTCTTTGCCCCTCCTACAACCCTGCATCCCAAGCCCACAGTGCCCCCCCACCCCCGACACTCACCTTCAACATCAGTGACTCCCGCTTTCGCTCCTCCTCCAAGGCCCCTCCCCAGCCTCCCTCCCACTCCCTCCCAGGACCCCGGGCTCCATGGCCCAAACCCAAAACCTGAGGGACCACTAGGGCCCCCAAGAGCCAGGCTGCCTGCATCCAGCTGGGCTTCCCAGCACTCAAACTAATAAGGATCAGGATGAGTGCTATAGGACTGGCGAGTGCCTCTCAGTCCTCCTCCTGCTGGGCTCTCTCTTCTGCCTCCCTCCTGATCTGGTCTGTCTCGACTTTTGGTCTCTTCAGCTTCTCTTGGTGTGTCTCCCCGCCCCTCTTGGCTTCCAGGAGGCTCTGCCTCTGTGGCCAGAAACCTCCAACGTTCCAAGGCCTGATCCCGCCTTGGGTTTCTCCACACCCACCCCTCGCCGTTTCCAGACCTCTGCTTCTGCCCCCCCCCCTTTTCCTCCCTTTTGCAAGTACAAGCACTTAGATGGACAGAAGAAAGATGGAGCAAGTTCTGTAGGGTATCCTTAATACTGGTAGGCCTCAGCCTTGGTCCTTCTCAGAACAAAGCAGGCCGTGATAGGATGCTGGCTTTTGGCTCTGTTCCCTTCTCCCCCTCCTGGCCATTCCTAAGGAGGGAGCAGACTGCAGGGTATGCTAAGGTTGTTATTATCCTGTGGTCACCGCTGACCACACAGCCTAATGAAGGGGACTCTTCTACCATTCTCAGGCTCCAGGCTCTCCCAATCCCCACCAGATGGTCTATCCCAGCCCTCCCAGCCCTTGTGTATGCCTGCTTGTGGGGACATGTGTGAACAGCATCATGTGTACAGCTTGAAAGGTGTAACTCCGAGATTCTCCTGCAGGTCAGGCCCTGAGCAGGTCAGTGCTGGAGTGGGAGGTGGTGGTGCTGGGGTGGGAGGTGGTGGTGCTGGGGTGGGAGGTGGTGGTGGTGGGCCCAGTGGTTCCCCCACCAAGGAAAGGAAGGGGCAGACAGTCAGAGCAGGCATCTCCAGGAAGTGAGCTAACCAAGCCCTGGACTCTGAGCAGAGAACATTCTGCAAGCTGCCTCACCCCAGCCTAGACCACTGCAGTCACCTCCCCCTGCTCTCCCCCTCCTTCCTCCAAGCCCCTCCAATCTGGGCTGCTTGCCTGCCGCAGCCAGAGCGAGCCTTCCCAACTATAAATCAGATCGCATTACTCCCCACGCCCCTGCTTCCTCACTTTCCCATCAGAAGCAGGAGAGAAGCCAAACCTGGGCCTCAGTCCTCAGTGCAGCCTGCAGGGCCAGGGCCTGGAGAGAGCCATTTCTGCAGTCTTTCCCCATTTCCCTCACCCTCTGCCTCGGCCCTGTCCTCCTATCCCTTTCCTCCTGGAGACTCTTCCCTCAGCTCCTTCTCATCACTGGAATTTCAGCCCTGACCACCCTATGAAACGCCCCCTTTTCTTCCAGGTATGGTGCAACCAGTATGGCTTTGTTTATTTACATCTGTCTCTTGCAGACCAAGGATTGGACTATTGGTTAGTTCTGTATCCCCGAGTCAAAGCAGGGCTTCCTAGTACCTAGTAAGTGCTAAGTTAAGCTGCTGAGTAAGAAGACCACTGTTCCTGGCAGAGTAACAGCAGCTTGGTCCAAGGCCTCCAAGGCAGACTTTAGTGTTCAGGTGGCACCTGAGTTCTCAAGGTGTCTGCCTGGGTAGAGGTGCTGAAGGCTGTGGGAGGATCCGATGCCGGGGAGTGGACGGCTGTGCCATGCCCACTCCATGCCATGACTCCTGCAGGGCTTTTCCAACTATAGTCCAGCAAGTCTTGCCAGTTCATGAGCCAGAGATCTGGGGGCCTAAGCTCTGCAGGGAGAAAGCAGAGAGGCTCAGAGAGGGACATGGCAGCCCCGTGGAGGTCATGGGTGTGGTGGCAGCTAGCCAAGGCTGCTGGCTCCAAGCAGGTGCCTCACATCTGCTCTGGGCTGCTGAGAGCCCCATGAGGGGCCTTGGAAAGGAACACACCAGTTTTCAAGAAAGCCTGGTACGTGGAGGGCAGCGTGACCTTGGGCAGCCTACTGGCTCCCTCAGAGCCTCTCAGATGCTGGTCGTCGTCGTCGTAGCACAGAGGCCCCTCATCAGAGGCTGGAGACCTCCATATAATGCACAACAGCCTTGTCAACTGTAGAGTTCTTCATAGCACTCAGTGTTTGTGCCAACACCGCCAGCTGTTCTCCATGGGCTCAGCTGCTCAGCACCTGGGTGGGTGCATCAGGATGAGGGCCTCTCTGAGATGGTACCGACTCCAGCTTATCCCAGGATGTTCCCAGAGCCTGCAGCTGCAGATGAACCCAGAAGCTACCTAGAACTGCCCTTTGTCGGTGCTGGTGTTCCCTAGTGGCTCTGGGGATGCTGCTGAAGCCGGGGCAAAGTGGAAATCAGGACTGAAGATGAAGGATGATGAATGAATCTGCCTTGCCACCGTGAATGTACCAAGCAGGAGAGTGCTAACTACCTGCACATTCTTAGCTTTGTGTGCTCGTGTGTGTGAAATCAGGGGTGATATATGATGAATGAAGACACACAACCTCAGGCATGTTCTTTGGAACACCACCAGGCTAGTGGAGACTATGGAGACAGCTTCTGTGTTCTTCATCCTTGACACCACCTCTTTATAGCTGGGTGACCTGGAGCAAGTTACTTAGCCTCTCTGTGCTTGAACAGGAAAGAAGTCCCTAAACCTGGTACCTGTACTCAGGGATAGTTGTGCAGGGGGCGCTGTGAGCAGGGTGCGCAGTCAAACAGGAGTTCACACCTGTGATGGACAGCGGGTGGGTGAGCTCCCTCAGACAGCATGCATGTCTGTCTACGGTGTGCTTCTGTGGGCAGATCTGAGCAGGCAATTGGAGTATGGTGTGGGTAAACCTTGCAGGGTGCTGTCGGTATGCTGTGACACTGAGGTGTGACATTGTCCATGACACCGGGTGTGTGTCCCTGGTCATGTGTACTGGGCAGGCATGCCCTAAGGAGTAGGCAGCTGTGGGTATGCTTCCTTTACAGGACCAGCTGGGGGAAGGGACATACGTCTATCTCAGGTGCTTCCATATGTGGGGGCTCATATGGAAAGGGGTGTGTGTGTGTGTGTGTGTGATCTATAACCCTCAGCATTCGATTTGGGAATATACAGACTCTCTACAAATACAAATAGCACCCCACCATGTGTAGAAAGAGCGGGGAGCACTCTGGGAGAGGGGCTCCTCTGGGAGGAGCAGGACCCCATTTGGGATACACGGGGGTACGCAGGGGTGGAATCTGGGTTTGGGGATGGGGCAGTGAAGATGAAGGGTGGAGGAGGGCGAGGGGAGAGGGGCGGAGCTGCGTTTGGGGGAGGATGGGCGAGGTTTGGGGGCGCGGGGAGGGGCGATGTCTCTCTGCGGGCTCCTGGAGGGAGGGGAGAGGGCGGAGGGAGGGGAGGGAGGGAGAGAGAGGAGAGCAAGAGAGAGAGAGAGAGACCGGGTGAGGGAGAGACAGCTAGTGCGAGAGAGCGAGCCGGGTGGCAGTGGAGGCGCCGAGCGGGGAGCAGGCGGCGGCGCGGCGGCCCCAGGCAG